TTCCGAAGAATCTTGAGCTCTTTGTTTTCCTTCGCACAGGACAAGAACAGCAATGTCAAAGGCGGCAAAAGCAGCTGTGCGAGGGCAGAAATGACAGCAATACGAAGCTACAGGACGGGGACTCACATTCACCGATCGGCTCTGCCCTGTGTCACCTGTGGCGTCGAGGCATGTCACGGGTTTCTCGTCCTGTTTCGACACAATTATGGAGGGTCCTTCTCGAATCTCGACCTTAGCATTGGGCCAAATCCTGATTAGTACGCGAGGATGGGAGATTTTGGTGTATGCTCTCCTGTGATCGATGGTACCCGTTGGTCCAGACGCTTGTGATCTCGCGGCCGTCGAAACGACAATTTTGGTTACATCAGGGGCAACCTCCCTTGATCAAGTCCATTCCAACGAATCAACCATAGCTTGGTAGAATGGTAGTCCACTTTGAGAACTTGTCAACTTGGGACCTGACTATCTGAACAAGTTAAGTAACACTGAGCCACTTGGTGTTATTTATATTTTCAGAAAACTGAGTGTGTTTTATAGCCTGGACACTCAATCACGCACAGAGTGCTTGGTAAAAAAAAAAGGAAAACTTTTTTTTTTATCTCGCAAAAAAAGAGAGGAAAACTTGAAGCGACTTGAGTCTGAGAAACCAGCTGTGTTAGCGTCTAATTTTTATCCCATTTTTAAAAACCTTTTTCTCGGTGGCAAGTGGGCAACAACTTGTTTGGTCAAAAAAAAAAAAAAGTGGGCAACAGCTTGGCAAAGTTGGGATACTACCTAAAAGGCAGCCAATGAGTGAAGTAGCCTTGATCCATCATTGCATTAGCTACTTTGTTCGAGTGAGCCAGTTTCCGTGAGCTAAAACAACAAGCAGATTGGACAAAGAACCACGTGCATTTCTCACGACATATGCTGAAACATGCTTGTGTACTTCGACACAACGAACTGAAGTTGTTAGAAGATTTGGGCTGGCTCAAATAATAATTCTAAATAAATTTCAAATGTCTACTCACACATGCATGGTATGGTACTATGGTGGGGGACTTTAGTCCACATTGTTACTCTAGGAGGAGTGAGGCTAACTTAAATAATTGAATTGTCTCCAACTAGTTGAAGCCATTGGGGAGGGAAAAATGAAGAAACACACACGCTTGCCTTGACACGTCTCGCGGGGCGGGGCAATGGGTGTTGGCGCGTGAATGGTCCGGCATTTTCTCGCTTCGATCTTGCAGGTGCGCAACTTTCTTTTGCTACTCGATATTTTTGCATGTATGGAGAAATTAAAATTACGCTGATCTATTTTGGCAATCAATTATTCTCGTATTAATGGTGATTGCTTTAACTGTTCTAGTCGACTAACTTTCCTTAGCTGCGACGCGTGTATATATTGGGACGAGACCTCGTCTTCAGTATAAACAATTCATCTCCTCCTTTTACCACTGTGTTGGGCCGCCGCCGTCTTCCCCATCCCGTCGGCGACATGTTATCGGCGCCGGGAGAGCAGGTCTCCGAAGCCTAAGTCTCCCCGTGACCCTGCACGGGGTAGGGGCGTATCAGGTTTTTGGAAAGTGCCGTCGTGACTGCTTGCTGAACGTCTTCTTCCCTCTATGTCGATGTTTTGCGGATCTCCATCGACGGTCTGCTTCGTCTACATTTGCGCTATCTTTAGCGCCGACAACCCACTAGAAGAATGTTTATGCTTTTTTTTTTGTTCGTTCTAATATTTCTTCTGCTACTAGCACTAGTGAGTCTGAGTTTATCTCATATCATAGTGCTAGTGTTACTTCACACATCTATGAGCATGTTGTTGTTCTTTTTCTCAATTTCGGAATCAATTTATGTGTCGCTAAATTGCTATTATTTTTAGCACGACTTGCTAGTGGCTACGATGACATAGGTCCTGTTCGGATGGTGCAAAAATTGCACTATTCACGGCTGAAAGTTACTGTTCACAGCTGATTTTCTCTCATAAATTCATCCGATTCCCAGATTCTAAATTTCCCCCATCGAACGGGGCCATAATCATGCTAGCTGAGTTACCTCGACAACGATGACATCTTCCTTGCGAAATGCAAGTATGACAATTTCTTCGCAACAGCGACTGGAAAGTGGAAAACCGAAGCATTTTCATAAGAGTGTGACAAAGACTTGTGTTTGGCCCTTGCCGTGCAGTCTCCCGAAAACCAGTTATCTGTTCACCAAGACACCAACCACAGAAACACTCGTCAATACAATGCACATGTTCGCCGGTTCCCCATGCAGTTTTTTTGGCGCTTGTGACTCACCAATTCACCAGTCTAGCTAGATGTGACGTGAAAGATCCAGTACAATTTGAGCAGTACAAAGATTTGTTGCCGGGTAATCTGAGGTACCCTAGCAGAAAACCCGTGAAAAGGTTGCTGTTGGTTTTGGCCAAAGGCCAAAGTAAACGATGAGAACAGGCTAGGGAATGCGTTCTAAATTTTGACTGCTGCATGTAGCAATGGCTCTTCTTTAAAGAGACTGAGAGCTTAGGCTCAACTCAGTCCTCACTCAGCTTTTGTGGAAGGACATTTCATGCGCGCCGTGTAGCATTCGGTACAACCACCATCGCATTTCTGGTATAATAACTGGAGGCTGTCGTGATGGATCCAGGTTCCCGGTTGGCCCCTTTCTGGTCTCTATAAGAAGCACCCCCACCTTCTGTTCAGCCATCACAGCAGCTCAAACACAAAGCAGCAGCACACTCCTCTGCTCTGCCTCTAAGCACAGAAGCGCCCGAAGAAACAGCGCAGGAGCGATCGCTATGGCTCAGGGAAGCGGCAGTGCGACGCGGGGGCTTGCCCTCGGCGGCCTGCTCGCCGCTTTCCTCCTCCTCGGCGTCGCCGACGCGGCCACCCACAGGGTCGACTGGTCCTTCAACGCGGACAACTGGTCCAAGGGCAAGAGCTTCCGCGCCGGGGACGTCCTCGGTGAGCAGTGGCCAATACCATTTCATCACAGGCAGAGTTCAAACAAACGCTTATTATGGTTTTTTTTTTCTTCCTGCATGCAGAGTTCAACTACGACCCCTCCGTGCACAACGTGGTGGCCGTGGACGCCGGCGGCTACTACGGCTGCCAGTCCTCCGGCACGCCGTACAGCTCGGGGAGCGACCGCATCACGCTTGGCCCCGGCACCAACTACTTCATCTGCAGCCTCAGCGGGCACTGCGGGATGGGGATGAAGATGACCGTCAACGCTAGTTGAGCACTGAAGAAGTGCATGCCCGGCCGGCCACGCATGAATAAGCGCTGTGTCATCGGTGGTCCGATAGATCGTGCAAGAACTCAATCGTGTGGCAGCGCACGCAGCGTGTTCGATGGATATACGGTTCATGTGTTCTGTATGTATGCAACTGGTAGGTCAGGCATGATGTACGTGTGGGTAATGGGCATGTTAGTAAAGCGTACTACAGCTTTGTTGTTTGTTCGATCGAAGCAGTGTGACTCTTCTGTTTCGGACTGTTCGCTGGTCGGTTTCTGAGCTGATAAGCTCGGCTGGTGCTGGTTTGTTGTGGGAGAAAAACACTATACCATGGCTGATAAGTTCTGGCTGAAGCCAGCAAGCGAATAGCCTATTTGTTAAATGGCATCTTTGCATGGAATGGAACAGTGGGATACTGGTTTTGTGTTATAATCTTGGCTGAATGCTGGAGCTGGAATGCGCAAAAAAAAAGAAAAAATAAGGAGAAAAACGGGGATGCTAGCGTCTAGACATCCGGACGCCGCGCCTATCCGCGCCTATCCCCTATGTCACATGCCTCTTTGTTTCCCGCGCCTCCTCCATTTCTCGTGCTTGCGTCACCCGGACGCCTCGCCCTGCCGCGCCACCCGCTCGCACACAGGGCCGTCCGCTTCCACTCCGTTTCCCGCATGCAACCGGGGACCACCTGCGCCCCGCTTCATATCGCGCAGGCAGGACCGCCTGTGTCTACATCTGCTTCCCGCACCTGCTCCGTATTGCGCTCGCACCCCCACAAGCGGTTGTGCGCCGCGTGACTCCGGCTGTCCCATCCAACACTTGAAACATGAAAACACTTGCAACATACATTTAAAACGGATGAAACATTTCGAACAAACACTTGCAACATACGGTATAACCATCACATCATGTGCAACATCCCGATCTACTTTTGCAACATCAATATGAAACACTTGCAACATACCTCTGAAACATTTGAAATATACGCTTGCAACGTGTGCTTCTTCTTGTCGTGGTGTCTTTGGCCGATCGTGGGAGACGTTGTCCCAGCCGGCGATGACCTTCTCTTGATGACGTGGTGCATGCCGTGGTCGCGACGGGCGAGCGCGGAGTGGGGCGCGGCGGGGGATGGCCGCAGCGGCAAGCCGGAGTGGGACGACGCGGCGAGGGATGGTCGCGGCGGCGAGGCGGAGTGGGGCAGCGCGGCGTAGGATGGGGGCGCACGCGTGGGAGATAGCTGCGGCTGCGATGTAGATTGGGATGGGTAGATGGCCACACGACGCAGAAAAGCACGTGACAGGCGAGCGAGTCGAGACACAGTAGCGCGTAGGCCTAGGAAGGCGGCATCCGGTCACACGGACGCCTTTCCCCTGAGCATTACCGCAAAAATCATGAAAAAAATGAAAAAGGACCCAGATACCTTTTTTGTATATATTGATAAAAATAAAAGGACAAAAAATATATACATTGCGAAATACGCAGCCCAGCCCCAAGCAAAACTATGGAAGTAATCATCGGCCGATGGGCCATATCGAAGACACTAGTGCACAGCCCAAGCAAAATCCCTCCAGTTCGGATCCACCCCAGGCCCAAACGTCCAGCCAATTACGGAGCACGGACACGTCTCCACTGCGTGTCCTATCTCCACGTCACAATCCTAGAAGCTGCTCGCTCGACTGCCCCACCTGCCAGCGACGCGGTTCCCTGCTCCTAATTCCCAAGTCCCAACCCACTGTACAACGGGGGTGGGATCTCGTGTTCTCGTAGACACGCCTTCCCCGATGGCTCGCGTCCTCCACCGCCGTCTCCTCCTCGTCGCCGCCGTCACCTTCGCCGTGGCCGCTTCTCTCCTTCGCCCAGCTGCCGCAGTGCGCCCCTTTGTTTTGGTTCTCTCCGGTGAGGATTTCCTCAAGGATTCGGCCGCGCACCCGTCCCTCCCCTCTGCCGACTCCGCCGACGACGACGGGTGGGACGACTTCGCCGACGATTCGCCGGCCGCCGACCCGCTCCTCTCCCCGTCATCCTGGGCCCCTCCTCGACCCAACCAGCCCTCCCCCCTCTGGCGATGAGACGGACTCGCCGGCCGACGCGCTCTTCGTCGCGGGCGCCCGCGTGATGCTCTCCGCAGCGTCCGACGGGGACGACGCGGCGTTCGCCACGGCCGCCGCGCAGATCGAGGCCGCGGCAGAGGCGGGGCACCCGGGCGCGCAGTCCGCGCTGGCGTTCCTCACCGGCGCCGGGATGACGCGCCCAGCATCCCGATCGCTCGCGTTCCTGCTGCACAAGTTTGCCGCCGACGCGGGAGATCTCCAGTCAAAGATGGCCCTCGCGTACTCCTACTTCCGCCAGGAGGTGAGGTGGTCAAGACCGTTTGCTTTTAATCACTCGCACAATCTGCGTACTCTAATTGGGGGTTGAATGTTTGAGTTTGTTGGCGAACTTGCAAATTAAGGAGGTTTTAGGGTCAGATGTTAGCTTTCGTGCTTGGGGTAGATAAAATTGTGAAAGGTTAGCGCCCTGTTCGCTTGGCTTATAAGCGTGCTTTTTCAGCCAACGAACAGTGTTTTTTCTCTCAACAACAAATCAGCCAATGGTACTCTCAGCTATGGCTTATTAGAAGCGAACAGGGCAAGTTTCCTGGGGTGAACAGGCATCAGAATTGCAAGTTGTTTCAGTTAATCAATTGGTAGTCACACTTGCTGAAATTGGGTGTAGACTTCGATATTATTTGCTGGTAGAAATTGCAAGGCCAGTGTCTTTGCCAATTTGTAGCGCGGTTCTTATTTTTACTACATCATTTTTTTTAATTTGTGCACAAACATTACACCTTAGAGAATCAAATTCCCTCTTCATCATTGTAGGGTTGTATGTAATGGTAGGTCTACAAATTCTTCTCTAGAACTAATGCTTTCCGTGACACAAAGTCATCTTACAAGTTGGAGGTAATTTAAGAAGCAATAATCGAGCTGACGAAATTTATCACTACTAGCCATGATGATTTTTTTCTTGATGAGTACCAGTGAGCAGCCTGCTTTAACCACGTTTAGTCTTTTTATCTTGCATCCAGACATTGGATGTCTGATGCAGTGTTCTTTTGTAAATTGTTGTGTTTCTTTTGATGAAACAGAATGAGGGATAGTATTTTACCTTAAAAATATTGAGTTTAGCTTCTTGCCCTAGCTTTTAATTCTTTTTGGTTGCTTGCATGTATTGCACAATCAGTGGTTATCGCAATAAGCTTTACTTCATATAAAAAAATAGGGGTTGCTCAATCTGATTCAATATAATTTCTTTGCAATCCTCTGGATTTATCATTTTGGGACGGTTTCTACCCTTGTTAATTGTCATATATATGCTATACTAGTTATTTTTAACCCAATTATTGTCATGTAGCTTGTTCTACTCCAGTCCACTCTATTGGTGTTTAAATTGGGCTCAACCTGTCAAATCCTATCATTTTAATTTTCAGATGTATGAAGAAGCTGTTATACTATACGCTGAGCTTGCAGAAGCTGCCCTAACAAGCTCCTTGATATCAAAGGAGCCACCAGTGATTGAACCAATCCGTCTTCACAGTGGGACTGAAGAAAATAAAGAGGCCTTGAGGAAGTCCCGGGGTGAGGACGATGAAGATTTCCAAATCACAGAGTACCAGGCACAGCGAGGCAATGCTGCTAACATGTACAAATTAGGGCTTCTGTATTACTATGGACTACGTGGGCTCCGTCGTGATTATGGAAAAGCATTTCATTGGTTTTCTAAGGCTGTTGAGAAAGGCGAGACACGAGCATTGGAGCTTCTGGGTGAGATCTATGCTAGAGGTGCTGGAGTTGAAAGGAACTATACCGAAGCATACAAGTGGTTGGCACTTGCTGCAAAGCAGCAACATTACTCAGCTTACAATGGATTGGGTTATCTATATGTTAAAGGCTATGGGGTGGAGAAGAAAAACTTGACAAAAGTAAGTGTGCTGTATAAGAACTTCCGATACAATTGCATATCTATAGCTGAACATTAGAAAACTTAAAACACTGTTGGAACTAAATGTTTCCCATTTACACTTCTCTTTAGCCTCTACTGTCCTTTCTTAATTGTCATTAAATTTTGTAGGTGATTAACTTTATCTGTACTTTATTTTGGTAAATATACTTCTATGCGTAACTTATCCGTAGAGATGTACTTAAATGAGTGACCTGTTAATAGCAATGGAACCCGCCACAAGAGTACCATTGATTTTGTCGACATGATTTTTCATGTTAACATCACAAAGCATAATTGTTATGGAGCAAAACTTGAGTGGTATTGTTTATTTTTCATATTTAATGTATGGTGTCCAGCTTCCATCATTTTATCCTAGTAGTTTAAGGCTAAAACATGTATTGTTACAGATATATCATGTCCCCGGATTCTCTTGCTAGTAGATTATATTTAGGGGTCATATTTATAATGTCTTAGAGTTTGGGGTGTCCCCTGTTTTAGGTCTCCATGGAGACACGTTCTTGTGAGAAACCTTTCAGTTATGCACTCTTAGCTGTTGAATAATTGCTAGTGTTTGTGAATTCATTCAATACACAAGTATATTTGCACAGGCGGTCATATTAGTGTTACCTTTATCTGTTATAGTCCTACCAGCACTAATTGTATACCATTCTGCCATGAGATCGACCAAATTTGATGCTAACTTGACAAGCAAACACCAATTACATGGGACATGTGGTCAACCACATACTGAATCTATGGCATGGCATGTCATGCGAAAACGAGTTTTGAAAGTGGAATGGAGAAGCGGGTGAGTCTTATGGATTTTTGAGATAAATACATAGAACCACTCTTTCAAAAGAAAGAAAGAAAGAAACCATGTACTTTTTTTTTCTCAAAAATGCAGGAGAGCTGTGTATCATTTCATTATTAAGAAGATAAAGGAAACAAAAGAGTGTGGGTGGGGGCGCAGGGGGGGGGGGACCTAAACCGTATACTAGGACACTAGGTTTGGCAACAGAGGCATAAAATGCAAGTAAAAAATGATTCACATAATATATCTAGTCCAAATGCTCATGAACTTAGGAACTTGCCATCCTTTTTGTTGTTGCAGGCAAGGGAACTTTTTGAACTTGCAGCCGAGAATAAGGAAGCCGGGGGACATTATAACCTTGGTGTGTTGTACCTTAAGGGTATTGGCGTAAAGAGGGATGTAATTAGAGCATGCAATCTCTTGCTTCATGCAGTTAATGCTGGGCAACCAAAAGCTATTTATCAGGTGGCGAAGCTGTTCCAGAAAGGCATTGGTCTTAAGAGGAATCTCCATATGGTAAATGACTAAGCTTCTTTTGTTGCATTGTTGGTTAAATTAAATTGCGACTGGTAACTAGGATGCCCCATGAGCTTTGTGTGATCAGATTATCCTGATCCCTGGTAAAAAGGCTTTAGGTAGAAATTTGGTTCATGAGTTATATAGACCGAAGAATGTGTGCAACGTTGGCTAATCACGTTTGATATTGATAGGTCTTTTTTGTTTTCTTGATTGATCCCCTGAGGGTAGGAATTGTTTGCTTACATTGATTCTGTGCGTAGTGTTTTCATGTTTTGGTGTGTAGAGACAAGATTCTTCCATAAAACATAGAATGTATTCAGTGGGTACTCTAGAGAAAATATTGAAGTTAATAAAGCAATCTCAAAGTAAAACACCCCAAAAAAAATTAGAAATTGTTATGTAACCATAGGTATATCCGTATATGTACATACTTTATCGAGAATAGAAAATCACATATGTAGCAATATCATCATTAAAAGCATAAATGGTTGAAGACAAACAGAAGTTCTATTTTCGTCCTTCCTCCCCCGCGAGGATAATCCAAAGTTTGCAGTGCATTCACTCCTCTTAATAACATAAGTTGTTTTGTTCAGAACTGTTTATGTATATGCCTCAAGAGTCTTGTGTAAATATTTCAGAATTTAAACGGCTATGAAAACTTGACATCTTGACATATGCCTGCAAGCATCATTGCCTGCTTCCTGCCGGAGCAGCAGCCCACTGCAGCCTAGTGACTTTCTGGTGATGCTATTGTTGCCAGCTGCGACCTATCTCTTATAGTACCACTACACCCTCCTTTGGTATGGCTCCTCATTCTCAAAGAGCTTCTGCTCTGGCTTTGGATGAAGCTGTACCGAACGAGGGTCAAACGAAGTGCTTTGCTGCTGGAGCAGCCTGGAGCCAAATCCGTTTTTGTGTTAGCACGAGGGAGCAAAAAATTCTGGCTTTGCTCAGCTCCGCCCGGTGCAGCCCTCGTCTCTCTCTCAGCGAACCTCTTTTCTCTCTCAGCCCATGGAGGGGGAACAAGTAGCAGCAGCCGGCAAAGTTGGCATGAGGTGGTGGAGCCGAGCAACAGACATGTGGAGTTGCAGGGAGGGGTCCTGTCAGCTATCAAGCCTCTATAGACGCCCCCCCTTCCACACACACACACAATTATTTCCCCACTGGAGGTGGTGTTTGGTGCAGTTTGAAGGATCAGCAGCGACGGTAACTTGAAGTCTGGGTGTCTGGCCAATGGGAGCAGAACACTCGCTCCTGCGCTTATTTGGACATGTGGTGCCAATGGGCTGCTTTATGGGATTAAGGGAAGGAATTATAGTGGGTCGGGCTTTTTGTGATTATTTGACCCATCTTACATGCCTCCAAAACAATCCTAATGAGAGTCTTTTAATAGTAGTCATTAAGTGTCTAGTCGCCTTTTAAAAGCAGTCATTGAGTTTACAGTGCCAAAAAATCATTTCACAGTACTGTCTCCAGTTTGTAGTTGCCTCTCAAACTCAATCATGGGTTATTCTTTATTTTCTTATCATGAACATTTGTTTATTTCGTATGAACATCACTTTGAAAACTAAGGTCAAATATATAACTCATGTGTCAAATAGGTAAGGGTACAATGGACATTTGGCCCCTTCTACCCATTTCTTAAAAAAAAAAAAACAGGAGAAGCTGTTTTGCCAAACGTTTATCCACATGTTTCAGCTCCACTAAAGAAGCTGCTTCTTTAGAGGAGCCGGAGCTGTTTCTGAAGGAGCCAGAGCCATGCCAAACAGGCCCGTAGACATTACGCTAATCGCTGTAAGTACCATGGTGTGAGGAATTTTGTCACATGCACACCCATTGGTCATATGCACACTGACTTCCTTCTTCAGATATGCCGTCTTGATTGTTTCATCAGGCAGCAATAAACCCCTGTTCCTGTTCCTATTTTTGTATCTTGATAGTGGTACATGCCTTTACCTTTAAGACTGCACATGTGTTTTTCCATTTGTATTTTTTTTTCATTTGTATAGTTATAGTTGAATTAGATTTGTAAAAAAAAGAAGGCATACATGCTGAAATGCATATCTCAATTAATAAGACTTGGAGAAATCCTCTAGTTTGCCAATTTGATTGATCTTTTTTATACTAATCTGTTAATAATACAAATAGGGAAACATGAACCAACTAAAGCAATAACTTCTGATGCCTCAATCAAGTATATAATCATCTTACTATTTTCTTGTTTCAGGCAACAATGCTGTACAAGTCTGTTGCTGAGAGGGGACCCTGGAGTTCACTGTCCAGATGGGCTCTGGAGTCTTACTTGAAAGGCGATGTTGGAAAAGCATTGCTCTTGTATTCCAGAATGGCAGATCTTGGATATGAGGTTGCACAGAGCAATGCTGCCTGGATTCTGGATAGGTATGGTGATCAAAGTATTTGCATGGGAGAATCTAGTTATTGCACAGATATGGAAAGACATCTTCGTGCACATGCTTTGTGGTGGCAAGCATCCGAGCAGGGTAATGAGCATGCTGCTTTGTTGATTGGCGATGCCTACTACTATGGTCGGGTATGTACTACAGTCATCTGACTTTTTAAAATACATAAGTTGGTTAGGGCCGCTTGTGCTAGAATTTTGAATCTGTATGCACTCCTTTTGGACTGTAGCTTTTTTGTTTAGTATCTTCAGCGGGTTCACATATGTTTTTTAAGTATTTGGGCTAAAGTTTTTTTTTGTTGTTGTTGTGGAAAACACTATTAGTGTACCTGTTAGCATGACCATTGTGTATTTGACTATTTGTACAATCATTTAAAATACGGTTAATAATATATTGATTTGAAATTATGAGTTTTGGAAATTATTTGAATATATGTTGCAATTACTGATGACTGATGTCATCAATATAAATACCTTTTTTCTGGCAACTTATGCATTTGAACAAACCAGTCCTTCGGAGGTGCTTTTAGGGGTAGGGTTTACGTACGTGTGTTCATTGGGGTGAGGGTGTGTGCGTGTTGTGAGCGTCTGCGTTGTACTGTGTAATTCTAAAAAAAAAAATGTCAAGTTTTCTTAGGCAAATTTCAGAAGCAAAATATTTGGATAAGAAAGTGAAATATCTCCATGTGGTATTACTTGGAGAATCTGCATTTGCTGAGAAACTGGCAATATGGCATCACCTACCTGTATTTCTCTGTTACAGGGCGTAGCAAGGGACTACGAACGTGCAGCAGAGGCATATATGCATGCTCGGTCACAGTCTAATGCTCAGGCTATTTTTAACCTTGGGTACATGCATGAGCATGGTCATGGACTTCCCCTTGATTTGCACTTGGCAAAAAGATATTATGATCAAGCTGTTGAGGTGGATTCAGCTGCTAAGCTCCCTGTCATGCTTGCACTAACAAGTTTGTGGCTAAGGAAGAATTATGCAGACAGTTTTTTGGTAAGACATTATTTTCTGTATGTAGTAAGTACAAGTGATATGCTACTGTGACTTTCACATGGGATACCTTGTTTTGTGCTTTACGGTTTCACTTGAAACATGTATAATTATTAATAGTTTGTGCCAAAACTCTTTCCTGTACCAATTCCCAATGGGTTGCTGCTACTGATGCCTTGTAGTTATCGACCAGTTCCCAGTAACCTATATCAAATGTATTCAATGAACTTTAGTCTCCAGTCCATTAAATGATATGTTGGGAAAGCCTTCTAAGTTATTCCTATATTTGGAGTTGTCAAGTGTCATGATTATAATAAAAAAGGTTTAAAACTGTTAATCTAAAGTTACTTCGAGTGGGACTAACTTGCCACATACTGATGTTAAACACACTGGTATACAAAGTATTGCCTTGGACTGGACTCAGCAAAAACAATAAGCTGGTTACAACGAATTTCCTGTCCTTGACACATGCATACTTGAATATTATCGTTTTGTTGCCCCATATTTTGGCACTTTATTCTGATTTTATGTTCTTTAGACTTTATTATCCAGTTTCCAGTACTTCAAAGTTCAAAGTTACTCCCTCTGTTCCAAATTATAAGCCGCTTTGACTTTTTTGGTACATTGATTTTGCTATGTATCTAGACATATACTATATCTAGATATATAGCAAAACCTATGTACTAAAAAAGTCAAAGCGGCTTATAATTTGGAATGGAGGGAGTATTCAAGAATTTGGTAACCCTTATGTTCTGGTTGGGATAGTTAACTCTATAGCATAATCCAAGGGGATTCAACCTTCTATTGAGACAAGCAGTAGTGTTGATGCCTTGGCAGTGATAAGATACCTTTAATAGTCTTCAATTGATGAACTTTGATGGATTTGTGGAAATAACAGTGAAACAAACAACCCCTTGTTTTGTTTCAAAAAAACAAATAACCCCTTGTGTAATGAAGTTGGAGAAGATCTATGGATAGTAAGGTGTCTTGTGCAGACTGGAAGAACTTTGATCCCAGATTTGAAACAGTCAAAATGTGAGTCTATGATTCCAAAGATACGACGCAGCACAAATATACTAATTTGGAATTTTGGTGAAAGTTTTTGCACTAAGATTGGAAAGTACTTCTAAAGCAACCCAAGAGAGTTTTGGGCAAATTTTCAAGCGTTGCAAGCCACTTGGACTACTTTTTCTGTTCAGGGTTTTGATTATTTTTCCTCTAATTAACTTTGTAGCTTTGGGTCAACTCTATTCTTGTATAGTACAATGCAAGAATTTTTCCCCTTCAAAGGTTCTTTGGAAAATAAAATGACCCAACAAGCCCCAATTCATGAGCTGCTTTTCGTTTCGAGTATGGTGTGCCACATGTTGTCTTGTTTAGGCTACACTGCATGAACAAGGCGATATTGAGCCTGGGTCCTGTTGCATGTTGATGTGCTTTGTAGTTTTAGTCAATTCATGGCAAGTGCTTGCATTCGTTCTTGTTACCATATCGGCAATTGTTTTGATTAAAAAAATTCCAAATTTCAGGTTCGTTTTATCGATTCACTTCCAGAAATATACCCTGTTGTTAAGGAATGGGTGGAAGATGTTCTCATGGATGAAGGGAATGCAACAATTTTGACTCTCTTTGCTTGCCTTGTAACTGTCCTCTACTTGCGAGAGCGTCAAAGGCGTCAAGTCGCAGCAGCCAACCCCCAACAACCTGATGATGTTGCCATGTAAATGTCAGTTTTCATGACATGGGCAGCCCTGTTGCTTGAGGTACATATAACTATTCTTCCAAATCAACTTCTTATGAATGTCTACAAAACAAACAGTGCAAATGTTGAAGTTGTGGATCATATTATGGTGTTCTTCCAGGGAATTGGAGATGTAAAATGATAGCTCCTTGACGTGACTCGTGTACACTAAATTGAGTAGGGACATGAAAGCCGCTGGAAACTCAGACAATGTTTGCTGCCTGGTATTCACCCCTCCAAGACTTGGGAGCTATGCTTGTAAAGGACAACAATTCTTGGAAATTGGCTGCTTAGAAATGTTGTTTAGAAATATCACAGGTGTTCAAAAGTAGACTTTTCCCCCCCTTGTGCATTTGCATAGCCATCGAATTTCGACAGGCACACACGGAGAATATATCTGGAAGAGGCTACTTTGCAATTGGTAGTTTAGGGAACGGGTAACTTTCCATCAGCATTTAAACACACTGTATAGTTTTCGCTGGATGTGTTAATTAAAAAGGGCAGTGCATATTGGGAGAAACAAGTTTGCAATAGTACCCATCAGTGTTGGAATTTTAAACACATTGTTTTCAATAGTCTGAGTGAATCTTGTAGCGGAGGGTGTTGAATGACGACGGCAGAAGCGCGCGGAGCAGCCGTTGCCGGTCGACAGAAGGGCACGTCTCGTGGTGCTGTCGAGGCAGGCCTCAGGCCGTCAGGCGATGAACCGGCCGATCTTTTCGTCCGATCTACGCCAACGATGATTAAGGGCAGCTCCAACGTTAGTTCTAACGAGGTGCGACGAAGAGATAGAATGAATGGAACTACAACGGCTGCAATACATTGGAGCTGCGGAGTTACCTTAGAAATGCCTGGCACCGGGGCTAAGAATTAAAAATATTACTCCTTCCATTTTAAATTATAAATAGCTCTGGCCTTTTTTTTTTATATAACTTTGGTTATGCACCTAAATACATTTTATATTTAGATACACAATAAAAGCTAGACACATAATTTAGAACGGAGAGAGCATATTTATTGCTTCTCTTTTACTTGCTGCACAGTTAGGGCTTCTCCGGTCGGTATGGCAAACGACTCATTGGCTGATGTGGCGCCCCCATGAATCGATTCAACCACTCCAGCAGGCGACTCATGAAGGAGAGAGAAAATGAACCAGTGCAAGATTGTGAGTCGACTCTTGTTGAATAAAGAACAGTTTCAAAAGAGGAAAGTACAGACTTTGCTCTGGGCCGGGTGAGAAAACAAGACCATTAGGCCAAGCTGTGGAGAGAGAGATACTTTTTTTATTACTACATGGGGCCCACTGTGCTTTCTTTTGGCTGAGTCGACTTCTCTGTTCCGACAACTTTGCTCTCTCTCTCCTCTTGAACCGATGCAACCACTGTGGATGCTCTTAGAGTAAGAACACTGTTATCTGGCATGCTCTATAAGGGCTGTTTGATTCTCTCCTTGGTGGAGCTGTCTGGCCCAAGCAGCGCTCCTAGACGTCCGATATCGGTCGCTTGGGGCCTAGATCACAGCCTGGGGCCAGGACGACATGTCTGGCAGGGAGCTAACTGGGAGGCCGCGAACCAAATTGACTCTCATTTTGTGTTACGAAACATGTTCCTTGGTGTGGCTCCATTAGACGGCCGTTGGGACTTGAGACCTACTTTCTCCATCAAAAGAAAATGTGCTTCTTGTTTTTTTTTTCAAAAAAAATCAATCAGTTTAAGCTTTGATTAATTCTATAAAATATTAATATTCATGTTAATAATCCTCGTAGTCAGGGCATGTGGAGTTGCATTTCTGTTTGTGAAGTGGTTGAAACTGCTGAGCGTATTTCATTACAGTGCATCGGATGTCATTTTTGGGATACATGATTGCCTTTGAACAATGAGGATTATAACTTGAACCTTTTCTTCTTTTGGTGTTTTGAAGTTTTAGTAACAGGATGTATGTCACTTTTTATTTTTTTTTATTTAAAGAAATCGATGGGAGCCGTCTAATAAAATTATCTATAGATACACACTGGGCACTGGCAAATTATTATACCATTTGATACTTGAGAGCCACGCTGGCAGCTTAGGTTCTCCCCGGTGACTTGGCGGGCGCGCTACCGCACCGCTACGTACCGGGCCTTGAAGAGGGTGGGCGGTGGCAGTCGGCTACAAAGCACCGCACCCGCCTAGGTTCCGCTTCCGCTTCATCCATCCAACCAGAAGGCAAGAGCTCGGGGGGGGAAAGCAGGGACGAAAGACGGTGACGGGGAAGACCGTCATCCTCGAGGTCGAGAGCAGCGACACCATCGCCACCGTCAAGGCGAGGATCCAAGACAAGGAAGGTATTAGCACATCGTGATCGGGACCGTTCTTCATCCCTACCTCGCGTTCTGATCCCCATGTTAATTAATTTGCTTTGCTTTGATTCCTAGTGGGGCTCCTTGTTTGAGTTTTGCCCGTTCGATGTTCATGTGTTCGTGTAGGTATCGCCGTGGAGGAGCAGCGGCTCATCTTCGCAGGGACGCAACTGGAGGACGGCCGCACCCTGGTCGACTACGACATCCATAAGGAGTCCACGCTTCACCTGGAGCTTGGCCTCCTCGGCGGCTACTTCTGCTGGCGGATCTCACCAAATCTCCGAGAGCTTGCGTACAAGGACAACGTCAACAAGATGATATGCCGCAAGTAAGCACACAGTCACATATTAGCTACACACATGGATGTGTTTGCCTGATCTCTGTGCATCTTAATCGTGTGAATGCAATAATCGATCTGGACTGCTTTTGGATCCGTTCAGCAGGTAGTTTCGCGTCAGGTTTCTGTGTCTTCATCTTGGCTAGTTAATTAGTTGCATGGGATTGAGGTTCATTGGATGCCAAAAATGACATTGAATTGGTTGGAACTTGAACCTGCAAAACCACCTTATGAACAAAACTTTATTTCTGTTTGAGGCTTTGAGATGTCAATTTCCCTGTCAGTACTTTGCTACAACTGCAGAGATTATTATTTTCGTTAGTCAGTTACAGGTATCTTTGTATGGCCTTCGAAATAGTATCATTTCTAAGGGTATTTGTTCACATCACACCTATCTGACAATAGAATTTGTTGTTCAATCAGACATGACAGTTGGCGTTGTGGAACAAACACCCAAACCACATTTCTCTTTTGATCTGCAATTTCAGTCCTGCCTATTCTTCTTTATGTATCTTGGATTCACTTATCACCTAGACGATAAGTTGGTTACGAATTGGCCAAATGAAAAGGTTGGATTAGGATAGTGTGGTTGTAATGCAGATGGGAGAGCCTATCTTTATTTGATTTTTGTCTTTCAGTTGCTATTATCGCCTGCCTCTTGGGGCCAAGAACTGCCGCAAAAAGAAGTGCGGCCACAGCAACCAGGTGAGCCTTATTTCTCCCATCAGCATCTTAGACATTGCTGAAGTATGATTTGAGGCTAATCTTTCGAAATTGCTGTTAGGCCCCGTTCGCTTCGCTGAAAAAACAAGGCAAAACACTGTTCCGACTGATTTGTTCCGGCTGAAAAAATAAGCTGAAAAGTATGGATTATAAGACAAGCGAACAGGGCCACGGCGTCAGTGTGCTCTAGCATCTAGGTGCTCAAGCTCACGCCAAGCATTTTATAGTTTGATGTTGTTTACATACGTATGTCTGCTTTGTATTTAAGTTCAAGGTGTGTTCTGAGTTCAATATCTCAACAGTTTTAGATTTGGCTGCATATTGTTGTATGTTGCACGTGTTTCAGCTCATTGTGTCGTGTACTGTTGGCTATTCTCATTTAAGAATTGTCTGTAACGTTTCATACATGTTAGAATTTCCATCTAGCGCTAGCTGATGACGATAGCATCATTATAATTTCAACGATCAGTGTCCTCCTTTTCTGGTCTGATGTATCTTGCTCAATTTGTTCTTTTCAGCGAAGGCTAAAGAAATGCAGGGACCGGCACAGGTTTTATCAATCAACTTACTAAGTTTTATCGAGGTGTAAAGTTCCTTCCGGATACTGAAGATGGACTACGCCTTTGAATTGTGGATACTGAAGATGCTTTTGAACTGTAGGGTCATGTCGATAGCATGGTTAAGAAATGCTACTAGTTAACATGGTAGTTCAACACTTGAACTCATCTCTTGGCTGAAATGAACACTTCCTGGCTCTGTATGCTGCTACATGCCTACATCTTCTATCTCTAAAAGTTGCTGCTGAATGTTGAATTCTGCCTACTCTGTTAAAGTAGTGGGTGCCTCCTCAGTTAATTGTTAACATGTGATGCTCGTCGGGATGTTGTTCTCTACAAACTATGATATGCTGTCATCTTGTATGGTCCAGCATGATATATTTCCACATGCAATTTAGATTGTTCAGTGAGCCATATGCAAAATAAGAGCTGATAGGAATAGGACGCACAAGATTGATTGAGGTAATGAAATAATTGTTGATGAACAAATACAGGAAACCTTTTATCTTCAGTTTGTCAGAGACGAAAACCAGAAAACTGAAAGGCGCGATTGCCACCCACTGGCGTGATCCACCCAGCTCATTACTGTGCCGTTCATTGTCAAATGGGCCAATCCGAGCCCAAAGCAATCAGCGACGCCTCAGTGAGCGGTAAATGAGTATGCGCTAACGGTAATTCTATGAACCGGACGTCTGCCCGGACACTCCGTCGCTGGACGACGACGCTAGTTTAATAACCCACGTTCCTTTGCTTCTCAAAAAAAAAACTATTTATCCACTTATTCCTATCCACTTGTTCGTCTTCCTATTGCTTTTATCCGCTCGCCTGCCGCCCCCGAGCGCACGGCCGCCTCCGAGGCGCACCGCTCGGTCGCTGGCCTTGCTAGGCACGACACTCAGCTACCGGCCTGCCAGCGCGCGATGTGCTGTTGCCCTCTCCAAGTCGCGCGGCCGATGCCTCTCTTCCGCGACGTGCAGCCACTGCCGCCGGCCCGCCGCCTACAAGTGCCGCCAGGCCACTGCCTCCGGTGAACACCACACACCGCCGAGCCTCCATTCTGCCGAACAGCAAGGAGATGTTGCGTTCAAAGCGCATGTTGCAAGTGCATGTTTCAATTATTTTAAATGTTTGAGAGGTATGTTGCAAGTGTTCCATATGTATGTTACAAAAATAGATCGTGATGTTGCAATGGTTGTACACGTATGTTGCAAACGCCCGTTCTAAATGTTTCATCTATTTTTTCAGACGTATGTTGCAAGTGTGCTTATTTGGATGTTGCATACGTTTCAAACATATGTTGCAAGAGTATGTTTGAAATGTTTCAATCTTATGTTGCAATAAGTGTTTTCATGTTGCAAGTTGCAAGTGTTTTATGCGGATGTTGCATATGTTTCACACATATGTTGCAAGTGTATGTTTCAAATGTTTCATCTGCTTCAAACGTACGTTGCATTCAAGTTTTTCATGTTGCAAGTATTTCGTGTTTCAGAGGTACTTTGTTTAGAGTCACGGGGGCACGGCCCGTGCGCCGCAGGAAGGTGCACGGCGAGCCGGGGGCTGGCAGATGGGGCACGTGGCGCGCCTGGGTCCTGCGGACGGGACGTGCTCGTCCTCATGCCAGCTCCTAGGTCCCGTCCGCGCTGGGTGAGACGGATGAGGACGAGGTACGCGTGCATGGCGAGACGAGGCAGATGAGGAAGGACTGTAGCGATACGGTGGGAGTGTGGCGCGTTTCTGCTGGGCCGTTCGATGGCGTTCGATGAAATCCTATCCCATCGGATGTCGAGGCGCCAGCAATTCCCCTTGGCTAGCGCGCTAGGTACCGGTCTGTGTTCAATGGGATGTAGAGCGATCCATCGAACCAGAGCGACGACTCCACACACCAGCGTCCTGCGTCCAGCAATATCGAGGAGATGCAGGTCTTGCTGAACACACCGATGGAAACACCGTCATCTCCGAGGTCTTTTTTTCCGCAAACTTAGTATTTTATTAAAAGAAAGAGAATTACATGACCTGACTATAAAAAAACCCTCGTAGCGTAGGTTACGGACCACCAACGCAGTTAGGGCTGAAAACGAATCAGATTCATATGAAATCAGATTCATATCACTTTTTAACATATTTAAGTTCGAATTCAAATACATATGTAGCTATTTTTTTAATACAAATACGAAATGGATGTCTCGCATTTAGATTTCTATTGAATATTTACTGAATTCAACTTAAAATGTATAATGTTAAATTCAACATACATTAACAGAATTTTACTCCTAAGTTCATCGATGATCAAAGTGAAATGAAATCAAAGTACAATTCTAATAATCTCCAATATCGTAGTGAATTAAATTATAATGGATAATATTTAATAAAATGATAAGTCAAGTGAAGAAATTCAAATAAAAATGGTATCCATTTTACTTTATCAATGTTTTTGTAATTACAAAATTATTACACAAGTAGAGATCAAAGTATATGGATATATAACATAGACAAGGATAACTCATAAAAAATAATATAATAATCAACAAATATTTAATAATTAAATGTATCAATTAATCAATCATTATTTATATAATATCTATATCATGAAATTATAAATTATACAAATTCTATGAAGTAATTCACATCAGTAGACAAATGAATTTAAGTATTGAAATAATTTACAACAACAAATATATTAGGTTTAAACTAAATTAGAAAAATACTAAAATATATTTAATCTTTATATGTATATCATCAATAATATTAAATTAATATTGAAAGTTATTTATAGATATACTATTAAGTAGTTTCAATGCATTTTTAGTGATATTAAAATTAAATAATAGTCATCTCGATGGCAAGGCATCCGCCATGGCAAAGCTAACACGATCTCAACCATGAAAGCCGAATGACGGCGGCAAAGCCTCCTCCTGGACTATCCAAACAAGCGCTACGATATAGGAGAAACCACTGCGAAGACGGACACGAGGCATACACAGGCACAACAAAAAGATCCAATCCATATCTTAGAGTTGAAGCTATACCAAACATACGCTACGTTATTGTCGGCATAAATTATAGAAAAGTACAGGTTTGGCCCATGCAATTACATGGCTTAAGTGCAATAAAATTATTTCAAATATGTGACTACCGAAAACAAACAAGATAATTTATATAACATGAGTTCTTGGCTATGTAACTATGTTTAGTAGATCATGTGTATACGATGGCTCTACTCCTGTTGCAACACACAAGCACTTTTTTTGCTAGTGATATTAATTTACTTTCAGCTCTTGTCCGTAGATCGGGTGGTGAAGGTTCAGTACCGTTCTAGCATTTTGCATCAGGCCAAAAAGATTGAATAATCAACAACCTAACATGTCACTTTCCAAGTTATAGAAGCAGGAATGCAGCACTCAAATCACGTGAGTGCAGAAAGACATTATGGACCAGTTACATATTCTCTTCTCGTCCCAAAATAAGTATACATCTTATACTTCGAGTACTGAATCAAGCTCAAATTTAACTAAATTTATAAAAATTAGTATTATCATTTATATCTCTAAATAGATATATTCTAAAAATATATGGTGTGATTAATTTAATAATATTTATTTGGTATCCTAAATATTTATTTTTTTTATATTTGGTCAAACTTATGATTAGTTGATTAATCAAAATGCGATATGTTGAAAGGTCCTAAATGGCTAGAGAGGAATGAATAGCCTATAAAATCTTTCTACAACAACGTTAAGACAACTTGTTAGTCAATTAAATGACGAAACGAATGTTGCGTTAGCACTACAAGTATTGCAAGCCACCTATCCACAAGTCTAGTATGCTACGATCTCTAGTAATCATACAATGGCTATGTCGCTAATTCTACCACTTGTGAGCAACTAAGCAAGCAATTCAACTAATTACTTCTATGTTACACTAGAGAGCTACCCTACTAGCTAGACTACCTTTACACAAGATATCACTAGAAATATAAATACAAGAGAGGTAGAGGGATTGATATCGAGCCGGGCAAGTGCAAAATCAATCGCAATGAATACCAATTGACACAATGATTTTTCACAAAGGTTCACTTGCTTGCCAGCAACCTAGTCCCCGTTGTGGCGACTCACCCACTTGGAGGTTCACGCGCTAATAGGCATCGCATGCCTAACCCGCAACCGGGTGTCGCACAACCAACACAAAATGAGGATCCACAAGCCACGAGCAATCCACTAGACTTGCCTTTCGTGATCTTCCACGGGAAAGGCACAAGAACCCCTCACAATCCACCGATCGGAGCCGGAGACAATCATCTTCCTCCGCTTAACAATCCACGCTGCACCAAGCCGTCTAGGTGGCGACAACCACCAAGAGTAACAAGCGAAATCAGCAGCGAAACACAATCACCCTATGTCCGATCCTCCCCAGTCTCGCTCTAGTGCACCACGTCATGCTGACCGGAATAGGGAACGGTGTTCCGCCAGAGTTCTGTCCTCTCCTTTAACCGGGTCCAGTCATCTCGGCCAATGCAGCCGAGTTTGGGGCCGAACATCGGACGCGTTCGGTCACCCTAGTGACTAGCTTTTCAACTCCTTTCACTTCACCCTTGCTTCTATATTGCCAACCACAAAGTGTCTCAACATAGTGCACGTGTGTTAGCATTTTCATAAAGCCTTTTCAAGGGTGTTAGCACTCACTAGAATCTAAATGCATATGCAATGAGTTAGAACATCTAGTGGCACTTTGATAACCGCATTTCACGATGAGTTTTACCCCTCTTAATAGTACGACTATTTTTTTTCTTCTTTTCCCAAGCTTGAGCACTTGATCATCACCATGGCCATCACCATCATCATGATCATCATCCATTTGCTCCAATGCTTGGTGTGCACCAACCTATCTCATATTCACTTAGAGTCAAAGGTTAATACCTAGGGTTTCATCAATTATTCAAAACCAAACTAGAGCTTTCACATGTGCACTCAGTAAGTGGCAGGTCAAAATTTGCACCATCTTTCTAGGACTCCTATAGGAAACCATAACTTATGACTCGGGACGAGATTAGCGCATGAACATCTGGAACACGGCGTCTGTCTGGACGCAGCTCCTACACCCATGCCTGACGCACGCAACTCTCTTCGCCCCGTGCCAAATCCCGCTTTGAAGGCAGCGTCCGTTCGGACGGAGCTCCATGCCTACACTCGACGCCCGCCCGCATCACATCCCATGCCCCGAGCTCGCCCACATCACGCGTCATCGTCTGGAACTGCGCCCCCGCGCCCACACGTGAACCATGGCGGTGCCCAGGCAGCAGCACTAGGCATGTTGCACCCATCACGCGCCCACACGTGAACCACAACGACGTCTCGGCAAAAGCGCCAGGCGGCTACAGCCCACCAGCCACCCACGCACATTGCAACATGTGCAACATCCAATCTACTTTTGAAACATAAAGATGAAACATTTGCAACATACAACTGAAACTGATGAAACAATTGAAATATGCTCTTGAAACATGCGTGTATAGCTATATAGCAACATATGCAACATCCAGATCCACTTTTGCAACATAAGTATGAAATATCTGAAACACATGAAAACAAACAGTTGAAACATGTGTGCAGCTATAGCAAACATATGCAACATCCAGATGAAAACACTTGAAACAGGCGTCTGAAACAACTGAAACTCTTTGAACATAGGCTTGAACACATGCGTATGTTGTCATTGCAACATATGAAACATCACAGATCTACTTTTGCAACATCCAATGAAACACTTAAAACATAAGTCTGAAACGCCCGAAACACTTAAACATAGTGTCGGCGGCGGCCACAGCCTACCTGGTGAGGAACTCTGGTAGCCAACAAGCTCGGGTTAGGCGGACGTTGAGAGCAACGGTCCAACGTGCACCCAGTAAGAGCAGCGTAGGATGTTGTCGGGCATGGCGGCGTTGAGGAAGGCGGGCACGCGGGGCGCAGAGTCGTGCAGGATGTGGCCGAGCGCGGCGGTGTTGAGGAAGGCGGGCGGGAGCGTGACGGAGCGCTATCGCGGAGTGCAGTCACGGACTCGCGATGTTGCGGCGATATTTTCTTTAAGAAATTGCGGTGCCAAAAAGGGAGCGGATAAGAAAGTCTCGTGGACATCGTGGCCCACCAACGGGGCCGTCCGTTCGGACGAACATCCTAGGCAGAGCATTACCACTCACTACGGGATACAAGAGGTTTGCCGAGTGCTAGGGGCACTTAGCAAAGCCCAAAAAACACTCGGTAAACCGTTTACCAAGTGTTACACTCGGCAAACGACACTCAGGAAACCATTTAACGGCAAACGCTGTTTGCCGAGTGTTTTTTGTCGGACACTCGACAAAGACTTTACCGAGTGCCCCAAAAACACTTGGCAAATATTTTTTTGAAAAAAATAAAAAAACAAGCACTAGCCACCGGCCGCCACCATCGGCCGCCACCACCACCGCCTACTTCGCCGCCGCCACCACCACCAAGGCCACCTCCTGCTCCGCCAGCACTAGCACCAGCACCGCTACCACCAAGCCCGCCTCCTCTGCCTGCTCTGCCACCACCACCAAGGCCACCTCCTGCTCCGCCAGCACCACCACCGCCACCACCAAGCCCGCCTCCTTTGTTTGCTCCGCCGCCACCACCAAGGCCACCTCCTGCTCCGCCACCACCACCCATGCCGCCACTGCCCATGCCACCACCTCCACCGCCACCCATGCCTCTGCCTCCATCCATGCCACCACCTCCACCACCACCCATGCCGCGGCGCCGGATCCGGAGGGAGGAGGGAGGGAGGGAGGTGGCAGGGCCGGATCCGAAGAGGAGGGGCGGCGCGGTGGCCGGATCCGGGAGGGAGGGAGGGAGGAAGGCGGCGGGGAAGGAGAGGGAGGGAGGGAGGCGGCGGCGGTGGATCCGGGAGGGAGGGAGGCGGCGGGGTCGGATCCGGAGGGGAGGGGTGGCACGGCGGCCGAATCCGAGGAGAGAGAGGGGGCGGCGCGGCGGCCGGATCCGGGGAGAAAGAGGGGGCAGCGGGGAAGGAGAGGGTGGGGTCAGCCGCCGGGGAAGAGAGGGCGGCGCCGGGGAAGAGAGGGCAGCGCCGGGGAAGGAGAGGGAGGGGCCGGCGCGGGGAAGAGAGGGAGGGGAGGGGCCGGCCGCCGGCGGGAGGAGGGGAGGGAGCGAGCTGGGGCGAAGGGAGGGGAGGGTGGGAACGGGAGGCGATGTGGGAACGGGAGGGGATTTTTTATGCGGCGTGTTTTTTTTTATTTTTCATCTTTGCCGAGTGTTTATTTTGACACTCGACAGACTCCCCTCTTTGCCGAGTATTTTTTTTACACTTGGCAAACCAACTATTTGCCGAGGGTTTTTGTTTTGCCGAATGTTTTTAGCACAGCACTGGGCAAAGAATTTGTTTACCGAGTGCCCAAGAGAATGCATTCGGCAAACATAAAAATACTCGGCAAATTTGAGGTTTCCGGTAGTGGCTTATGATTTCAATATGTGAGGTGGTGCCTGCGATATGTGGTTATTAACACGAGACAACTCCCATCAGTAAGGCCACCCAACTGGCGCCAAGGAAAGATGCTGCAGCTGTAATCACATCCGGTGCTGACGTGCACTGCACTGCTATAAAAGATTACGCTTTATTATTACATAGGAAAACAAAGGACAATGCTTTGGTGTTTGGTAGACCACTCTTGAGCATCAGGTCACTGCTGCCCGATTCCTTGTTTGTTGATTGATTTATCCCTCCTTCATTAGCTCTCCGTCTTCTATTTTATTTTCCTCACAACTTTGCTTTCCCTCTGCCAGCTCATCACTCCTCTGCGCTGCTACAACCAGCCCATCACCAGCTCGGAGACTCCTTCCCGGCGTCAATCTTGTATTGAGCAGCGTTGGCAGCAGCAGAGAAACAAGTTGTGTCTTCAGTCTTCAGCTTCTGCACTTCACTTGGGTAGTTGGGTGAGGAACACATGCATGCATGCATGCATATATGTAACTAGCTAGCGTTGGCCGCAGCATCATTGTTGATCATGGTTTTGCTGTTCCTATATGATGCGCGCAGCTTCTTCAAATAAAGATCTGCCGGCGGCTGGACTGGCGCCAGTGCCACGCTAGCTCAAGGACGTCGTCGGCGCGGCGGAGGTGACAAGATCACAAGAATGGAGGTCGCCGTCAACCCCGCGCGCTGGATAGTGGGCAAGGCGCTGGCCCCCGTGACGGGCGGTTTGCTAGAGGCATGGGCGGCCAGCAACGGGGCTCGGACCCAACGTTGACGCCCTCAAGATGGAGCTGCTATACGCGCGGGCCATGCTCGACAACGCACAAGAAAGGGAGATCCGCAGCCCTGCGCTGAAGGAGCTGCTGCACAAGCCGCAGCAGCTGGCCTACGATGCCGACGACGTGCTTGATGAGCTCGAGTACTTCCGCATCCAGGACGAGCTCGATGGCACCTACCATGCCGCCGACGTGCACGCCGGGGGCTGCGTCCACGGACTCGCCCTTAACGCTCGCCACACGCCAGAGCCATAGCTGCTAAACTCAACCTCTCCTCTGGCTCTAGTAGTGACATGAACGTCCAAGTCCAGGGTGATCCGGCCTGATAAGCAAGATGGTAATAATGCAAAACAGGGGTGCCTCTCTAGTGTCTGCTCATGTGGCGGGTGGACTGTCAGCTCCTCGCCGCCATCTCCTACCACCAACAAGGATGACGGCAAGGTTCACGGCGGATGCATGCAAAAATTGGCTTCTAGTAATACCCACGCCGCCTCATATATCAGTAAGCGCCTCTTCCCATGCCGCCCTTTACTAATTGACCATAATATCATCTGTTGGTGCACACTCTGACATGTCTGAGGATCATCACATGACAGGAAATGGAGGGCAATTCTTCAGTGATGTCTTGTGTGGCAAGCGTGAGAGCAGCTCGTCAGCGACCAAAAGAAGGTTGGCGGTGGATGCCTGCTGAAAGACACTTCTGCTGCTCGCAGTACTGCCCATGCCGTTGGTAAATGCCTTCCATGCTGCTCCTTCTCATCTGTCGATGATGGTAATACTCACCCTGGCATGCTGGAGAGTCCAAACATGCCAGAGGATCGAAGGAAATTTCTCTGCTGGACGTCCATGGCACAGCAGAGAACAAACACCACTACACTAGCACCAGAATTGAAGTTTAACAGGGTGGACATATCTGCAAAGATGAAGGACATCACAGAGCACCTCAAGCCTATATGTGCTAAGGTCTCCAACATTCTGAACCTAGAGTTCATAGGCACCAACCGTATCACTGAAAAAGACATTGCTAAGAAACGACCTGTAACCACTTCAGGCATTACAGAGAATCAATTATATGGGAGGGACATCCAAAAAGAATAGAATACATGGCATTGTTCATCGCAACTGTTCTGCTAATAATGAACTTGTTGTGCTTCCAATTGTTGGTCCTGGGGGAATTGGGAAGACAACTTTCACACAACACATCTATGCAGAATTGAAGAGCCGTTTTGAGGTCACAATTTGGATATGTGTCTCCCTCAATTTTACTGCTAGTAGGTTGGCACATGATGCTGTGAAACAAATTCCTAAAGTTGACGGTGAAAATAATTACAGTAGTGATCAGGAGCTAATTGAACAAAGATTGAAAGATAAACGGTTTTTGCTTGTGTTAGATGATATGTGGGCATGTCATGAGGATGAATGGAAAAGACTACTGGTACCATTTGGAAGAGGGGAGGGAAAAGGTAGTATGGTTATAGTGACCACTCGAATTCCTGAGGTGTCAAAAATGATTATTGAGGCAGTTGATTGTCCAATAGAAATGGAATGCTTAGAGGGTGAAGATTTCATGCATTTCTTTGAAGCATGCGTATTTGGTGATCACCAGCCATGGGAATGTCACAAAGAATTACGTGAAGTCGGGGAAAAAATTGTGAGCAAATTGAAAGGTTTTCCTCTTGCGGCAAAGACTGTAGGAAGATTACTAAGAAACCAACTTACTTTGGAACATTGGACTAGAGTTCTAGAAAGCAAAGAGTGGGAACTCCAAACCAATGAGAATGACATTATGCCAACATTAAAGCTTAGCTGTGACTATCTTCCTTTCCATCTTCAGCAGTGCTTTTACTATTGTGCTTTGTTTCCTGAAGACTACAAATTCGATAGCAAAGACCTGGTTCACTGGTGGATAGGGCTAAGCATTGTACACCCATGTGACCTGAACAGAAGAATTGAGGATGTTGGACATAGCTATTTAAGTGACTTGGTTAATCATGGGTTTCTAAAAAGGAATGAAAGAAATGATGGTCGTACTTATTTTGTTGTCCATGACCTACTACATAATTTTGCGGTGAATATTTCGTCATTTGAATGTCTCTGCATATGTAGTTCTAACATAAAGTCAATTCAAATTCGCCAAGATGTACGCCACTTGTCTATCATTGTAGATAACAAAGATGTCGAGGACATAAAGAACTTCAAGTACTATAAAAATGACTTGAGCACACTTGATAAAAGGCTGAAAGTTGAAAACCTGCTTACATTGATGGTATTCGGAGAACACCATGGAAGCTTTGCCAAGACTTTCTGTGATTTATTTGAGAAAGCAACAGCCCTCCGTACTATTTATTTGTCTGGGGCGTCATATACTGTGGAGGATATGTGCTGCAACCTTTCAAAGCTTATTGATCTTCGCTACCTAAGGATCAAATCAGTTTACTTGGGAAAGTCGGCCGTTAATCTTAGTGCTCTCTCTAGACTTTATCATTTAGAGGTCATAGATCTGCAGGAATGCAAAGGCTGCTATGGTTTCACAAGACATATGAGCAACATTGCAAAATTGCGTCACTTTCTGGTGCCAAATTATGAGCTTCAATTTCACTCAAACATATTTGAGGTGGGAAAAATAAAATCATTGCAAGAGTTAAGGAGCTTTGAAGTTGGAAAAGAAAGTAAGGGTTTTGAACTAAGTCAGCTTGGGAAATTGGCAGAACTTGGAGGTTCACTTGCCATTTGTAGTCTTGAAAGGGTACGAGCAACGGAGGAAGCAACTGAGTCCGAAATGGTACACAAAAACAGGTTGCACAGTCTAACATTAGAATGGGATGTCAAACAACATAACAAGGATCATATACAAGAGGAAAATGTTCTAGAAATTATGAAACCACATAGCAATATCCGTGGCATATGCATTAGAGGGCATGGAGGTACTAACTGCCCAAAATGGCTTGGTGAGAACCTCTCTGTTAAAAATCTAGAATCTCTATTTCTGGATGATGTGTCTTGGGAAAATTTTCCACCTCTTGGAGGACTGTGGCTGGTCAACAAGCATGGTGAGGAGCATTTGGGCTGCATATCACATAATAGTTTTCGAAATTTGAGAAGGCTAGAATTTAATAAGATGCCAAGATTTAAAAGATGGGTTGAAATTGACCCTAGTCATCTGTACTCACTTGGAAGTGCTCATCATCACACATTGCTCTGAACTCACAGAGTTGTAGTTTTCCCATTCTACTTGATGTCAGCAACAGAACGAGGCAAAGATGAATTTGTTTCCTAGACTACCGGAGCTCAAAATTGTAAACTGTCCGAAGCTGTTGTCCTTTCCTCCTGTACCTTGGACCAGTGCTCTGTGCTCCACTCGGCTAAATAGAGTTGGTTTGGGCTTTGAGGAACTGATTTGTGCAAAAAATTATCGACTTGAATATAGCTTGACAATTTTAGGGAAGGATGATCTTGATAGCTCGTTTTGGAACACATTGGCCTTTGGTAATCTAACTGAACTAAAAGAGTTGGTGATGGAAAGATGCCCTCCTCTCCCACTGCATCAATTTCAGGTTCTATCATCCCTAAAGACCCTCCAGCTGCGGCATTCAAGCGGCATTGTGTTCTCGTTGGTTAAAGGTGAGAGTTGTGCCAAATATCACTTTCCAATCGAATGCATGGACATCACCAGGTGGGGTGGTAGCGTTAAGGAATTGACACAACTACTCAATTATTTCCCCAAGCTCTCAGAACTGGACGTGTGGTCATGTGACAAGATAACAGGTCTAGGTGTAAGAGAGAAGCAGGCCGCGGCAACACCTGAGCCACCATCTTCAGCTAACAAAGTGGATGATGCACAAATCAAGGAGCACCCACAAAGGGGAGAGGAGGAAACAGCAGCAGAAGGGATGCTGCTCTTGCCTTCCCAATTACAAAAGTTGAAGATCTGGAACTGCCCAAATCTGGGCCTCCACTCCAATCCAGTTCGAGTCGACGACAACAGACAAGTTGGACGAGCCGGTGGAGGACAAGGACTCCAAGGTCTGCGATCCCTCCGATCGTTGGAGATAAGTGGTTGCCCCAGTTTCTCTTCCTATTCGTCATCCTCTTCTTGTTCAGGTTTCCCCTTCCCAACCTCCTTGGAATATCTCTATCTTGGCGCAGTGAGATGTTGTCGCCTATCTCAAACCTCACCTCTCTCACAAGATTAACCATAGTGGAATGTGAGGATTTAAGAGGCAAGGGGCTGTGGTCTCTCCTCTCCCAAGATCATCTCACTCTCACTGAATTAATCATCCGTGAAACTCCCAACTTCTTTGCTGGTTCCAATTCCTCACTGCCACGGGAACAAGAGTTCCCATCCTCTTCCTCCCAACTGCTTAAAACAGATGATGTCGCAGGAGTTCTTGTTGCGCCCATCTGTACCTTGCTCGCTTCCTCGCTCACCTCACTGCATCTTTGGAGGGTAAAAGAGGTGGAGCGATTCACAAAAGAGCAAGAGAAGGCCCTTGTGCTCCTCGTCTCTCTTGTGGAGATCACATTTAGTGACTGCCACAAGCTGCAGTGCCTCCCTAAAGGGCTACACAGACTTCCCAACCTCAAGATTTTAATCATCTTAAATTGTGAAGCCATCATGTTGCCCAAAGATGGCCTTCCAAGTTCACTGAAAAGGTTAGGGATACACAGTTGTCCAGCCATCCGGTCTCTACCCATGGATTGCCTGCCAAGTTCACTGCAAGATTTATGGATCATAGGCTGCCCAGCCCTTCAATCACTGCCCAAGATGAATGATCTTCCAAGTTCATTGCGAGTATTGGATGTCAGTTCTGGCAATAGCGAGGAGCTAAGAAGGCAGTGCTGCAAGTTGATAGGAACCATTCCAATAGTCAAAGTCTGACTAACCCAAGGTAACTAAGAGGTGGAATCATCCTATCCACCATCCCATGCTTTTCCTACCACCATACACATCAGTCATTCTCCTTTTGTTTATTTGGCTACAACTATAGTTTTCTTCAACTAACCCACTTGTTTTCATCTGTTGTGTAGGCCTCGTGTTGAAGTTGTACATTCTTCTAGCCTCCGGATTCTCTTTTTCGAAAGATCTAGCCTCCGGATTCACATTGTATCTATACATGATTATGAGTTGCCAAGCATGAACATCTCAGGATGTGCCTAACCTTGTACACAAAATTGGTTAGTATCTTACTAGTTCATTAACCCGTGCTTCAACACGGTCTAGAATATTATGTTACATAGCTTTCATGGATAAATAAATTACATAAAACTAATCTAAATTGGTTTCCTTTACTCTCTGTCTATTCATTTCTTTAACACGATATCCATTTATATACTCTTTAATCTCTACCCAAATTGTCAATGCCTTTGGTATGTGGTTTGTTCAACAAACTTTTTTTCACGGTCATAAATTACCAAAATATATGCTTATCGCTAACGTATGCATGTATAGTTAGTATATCGATGACACATAGCATTTATACTTTGAATTCAAGAATGGTAGAACTGGGCAATTTAGAAACATCTATTTATAGTTATTTAATTATTTTTCATAATAGTTTATATTGGAAATTTAGATATAGATTTAAAGGATACTTTAGTTTATACTTTATAATGGTAGTCGTGGGTAATTTAAGTGCAAATTAAAGGGTTACTCTAAATTATCTTTTATACTTGCAGAGGTCGGATTTTGGCTAGCGGAAATTATGTCCAGATGTTTTTCCATGATCACAATCTTCAGCGATATCACTTCTGTTCATGTAGCTTGAGTTCGGATAAGGTTTATTTCTTGGTATCTGTCAAATTCTTGCAAGGATTGCAGGACCAAAGCAAGTTTAAGCATCCAGAGAAATCATGCTTCCAATTAGATCTAAACAGGGGTGATAGTGTGACACTAGCCGACTTCATCCTCAACATTTAGTAGGCCCAGACAATGTTTTTGAGGTGTCGCCTAGGCGTCACCTAGGCGACAAAGCGTGGCAGAGGTGCTGGGCATCGGGGGCGCCACAACCTGCAGTGGTATGGCGTCCGCGTAATCGTATTAGGCGTCGCCTAGGCGTAGAAAGGTGTCGGGCGGATGCCTACAGCATTGTCGCGGACGTCGTATGCTAACTCGCGGGGGAAGGGCGCCAAAAGGACCGCGGCCCCGTAGGAAATCGACCGCGCGCCCGCGCGAAAAGCAAGAGACGCGGGAAATCGACCGTGCGTCCGCCAAGATAGGATCTACGCGCGGGAATCGACCTCGCGTCGCATTTACCGCGAGTGCGGGCGAGGGGAGAGGAAGAGAGAAAGCGGCGGGCTTACCTCGAGCTCCGCTTGGCTGCTCCTCTGCTCTAGTCCACCAGCCGGCCGCCCCTGCCACGGAGCCAGCCCTGCATCGCACGTCGCTGCTTGCAGCCGTTGACCGTCCGCAGTCTCCAGTCCGCACCTCCGTCGACTCTGCCTCTGCCTCGAGTCCGCATCTCCATCCGCAGTCTGACTCTGCCTCGAGTCTGCGCCTCCGTCGACCGTCGGCACTCGGCAGCTGCTCGCCCGCCTGGCCTGTTGTCTGCACCTCCGTTGGGTACTTCCCCTTCCGCCTGGTATGCCCCCTGCCTCTTCTCTGCTTTCCCAAATATCTAAGGCGTGTACTCTGCTGTCTGCTTTGAATATTATAGTCTATGCCTCGTGCTTTGCTCTGAATATGGGTTGTCACTCACATATACAAATGGTTGCTTGTGCTTGGGCTGTCACACACCCTGCTACAACACAAAGCATAAGGATCTTTCTTTGATTAGTATAATGTTTGCCTCTGCTATAGTGCCATTCACTTGTGTTCTTTCTTTAGTTTACTGCTGTACAGAACAAAAAACATAAGGCTCTTGCTTTGATTAGTTACTTATTAGTAATGCTCTTGCTTTCTTTTATGTAGCATCCATCTACCGAAGAAGACAAGGTTGTTGATCCTGATGAGTTTGATGATGGATTTTGAGTGCTGAAACAGAGATTTGCACTCCTGCTGATGGATTCTTTTGTGTCCTGCACCCTTGCTGTACTTTTGTGTTGTCCTGCACTCCTGTTGTATGGCTTTGGTGTAGTTGACTTAGTTAGTATGCTTTAAAGTTCAGTACTTCATTCTAAGTTTGTGAACTATTTGAGACAGACTATGATGTCATTTGTCATGCTCATGCATGTACTAATGCTTGCTAATTTGTTATCTTGCCTCTTGTATATTATTTCCTATTTAATTATCAGCAACTGATAACATGTTTGATTGCTGAATTCTGTAATTGTCTTCCTTCAAGGGGAATGGATGCTACATGGGAGAAGAGCTTTTGGAAAGGAAAGAAAGGAACATGAGCTCAAGAATTGGCAACAAACGAGGTATGTATGTGCTGCACTAATATATAAAATTCTAGCTTCCAACGTCTTACAATATGTGTATAGCGTCGCCTAGGCGTCCGCCACAAACGCCTAGGCGTTGTGAAGAAAAACAATGGGCCCAGATTCAGAGCAAGGTTTCGTAAGGGAAGTGTTCAGCAAAGAGTAGTTTGAGATAAATTGAATCTTTTGAATTTTCCTCCCGTACCGTATCCACTTCTATGAACGCAGAAAAGACCATTTCCACTGTATTTAGAGAGTACTATTATCTTTCCCTTGCAATACATCTTTGAGAAATTCAATATTATTCATGCGCTTTTCTGCAACATTTTTCGTTTGGATTCTATAGTGTATGGGGCGGATCTGCACCCCGTGTATTCTAACCCCCTCAAAACCTGAGGAAGCAAGAAAGCAAAGCTATGAGCAGAACTTTACACAAGACTGTAGAAGAGAGACGATATGCTGCTTGCACCAACTAACGACATCGATGTGTTGGAGCCGCCTGAATATTTGGACACGCGACGTCATCATGCACGTACTGGAATACAGCAGTAAACCCCGGCACTGGAGCAAGGCTGCACGTTGTTGTGCCATTTTGGGTGCAAGAGGAAAAGCCCACGTTCCAAACCTGCGTGCTAGTCTGCTAAGATTTCCATGCCTTACCAATAGGGTTACTATGGAAAACTAATAGAGGAAGAACGAGGGAAAGAGACAGATCTGACAAAGCAAGTATATAAATGTGTAACTTTGTATTATGTCTGGGAAAAATAGTCACAATGGTAATGTTACAGTGGGGGGGTGGAGGAGGGGGGATGGAGAGAACTGCTACAAACTTGTCTGGGTGACAATGCCGTTGACCCCCAGGACCTTTTCTTGACTACCTTGAAGAAGAACAGCTCTTTCAGGGTTGGAGAGCAGGAGTTGTTGCATGTCTTTCGGCAGGACATTGAATGCTGCTTGGAGGTCTACCTTCAATTTTTGGCATGCTCCTATTGAATCAGCACTTCCTTTTCCAGGGTTCTGGAGGAAGAAGACATTAACATTAGGAACTTCGCTTGATAAATGTCTACAGAATATATGGCCAAATGGCAGAATAGGGATGTTGAGCATGTTAATGGCACAAGATATTCCTTTTGCCTTCAAATTCTCTAAATGCTATAAACCATTAAGAACCATGCCCATTTCCGGTCAAACAACCTTAGTTGCTGATGTAACAAGTGACAAAATATATACTTCCTCAGTTCCAAATTATAAGACGTTTTGGCTTTTCTAGATACATTGCTTTTACTATGTATCTAGACATAGTGTATATCTAAGTTTATAGCAAAAGCTATGAATGTAGAAAAGCCAAATAGTCTTATAATTTGGAGTGGAGGGTTAATCATAGGTTTTGTTTTCTATTATTCTATATTGAATGTCTATAGAGGAATACTGTATTTTCTAACATCTCGTAGTTGCCTTCATTGGTATCACCAATAAACTAACCAAAATGATGTTCGTGTTTAGTACTCCACTTGTTGTTCGTGTTTAATCATAGGTTAGTTTATTGGTGATACCAATGAAGGCAACTACGAGATGTTAGAAAATACAGTATTCCTCTATAGACATTCAATATAGAATAATAGAAAACAAAACCTATGATTAATATAGTCCTGTACTCCTGTACAGTAGAATAGTCATTCAAACACTAACCCAACATGGTGTTCTTCAAACAAAGAGGCAGTTAACATTGCTCTTATTAGCTCCCAACAGGTAAAGTAGTAATTCTTCGAAAACATAGTAATAAATATTCAAGCTATATGAATTATTGTGGAAAACTAGATTTCTTAAGGCATGGCAGTCAGAAAACAAAGGGTTCCTTTAATACAGTACCAAAGTCTTCATCAAAATTTAAAATACAGTTGTCCTGCCAATTTTTTTGTGTGGAAGAGGAGTGTCTATAGTCAAACTAACAAAAACATGGCAGACTAGCATCAAATATGCTTATGCTCTTGGTGCAAGATGGTAGCTTGAAATATACATTTTATCAGCACTAAGGAAACAAGCTATTCTTGTGGCAGCTAGCGAAAGCAATTATAGGATATTAGTATTTACTTTTCTTTACAAGAAGTTAATGTGAACTGCTAGTGACACTAATCTGCTCGTTATAAGAACTTCACTCATGCTAATTTTGATATATGCAAGATGGATAAATGATGCTGAACTTTTTCCTAAAAGGGATCTGACTTTCTGAGTATTGGAACATTTGATCCCTAAGCAAGATCATTCTCAATTAATTACCAGTACATATTATTTCAATCGTTTCAGTTCCTAGAGTCCACAGATAATGCCAGGATGCCCCTTATCTCACCTCTTAGTATTTGAGTCTAACTCCAACTTAAGCAGTCCCAACAAAAAAAGGTCTAGAGTCAGACAATTAAGTCTTATTTATGTTTCATGTTAGGATAAGTTTGCAGCCTTCGGTGACAAATTCATCAATACAAACATATGCAATTCTTTCTTCTTTACTTGATATGTGTATTC